CTGGGTAACAGAGTGAGACTCTGGCTCTTAAAAAAACAAAAACAAAAAGACCCCCAAAACTACACATGACTCATGCCGTTAGCATTATTAGTAGGCAGAGAATACCATGATCTTCACATTACTTGTAAATAGAGAAATAAATACCAAATCCCAGGACAGTCGCATCACCACTACAAGCCTGTGGATGCTGAGTACGGAGAAGGGGCTTTCAGAGGCCCATAAAAAATGAGACGGGGACGTGGAAGATACTGATGAAGCACAGGCAAATTCACCCCAGAAAAGCCCAACAGCAAGTGTCTAAGTACTGAACACACGTCTGGGACATAGTAGTGGAGAACCACAGCTACAGGAGCAGGGCTTGCAGTGAACAGCACTGGAAACCACGGCCATGAAGAAGCAGTGCTGCTGGGAAAGAACCAGAGAAGGGACACGCCCTTGAAGACGCTGCCAGGACAGAGAAGGAAGTGAGACGGGCGAATTAAAGAGAAATAAAATGTGCGGTAAACACAACGGCTCACGAGGACTGCTTATTATCATCTCTTCCCAGCTCTGTGTTCGGTGACACCCCATTGGTAGGTTAAAATCAGCTGTAGTGGGAGTACACGTGGCACAGCAAATGCAACCAATCAGGCCACTTTTTCTTGGAGATCTGGCTGTTAAACATTTACCATCTGACGACTGCATCAATCAGTCCCCTTTCTTTACCACCATCACCACCACAACTGCCAACAATATCTTCTATTAAATAAATTGCACTTCAGTTAAACTATTTTAAGATGACACTCAACTAGGAACCCTCTGGACAAAACACCCAGAAATAGAAAAAAATCAAATTGACTTCCTATAAAGCAAATGTAAGAAGAAAACAGAAAGTGTTAATTGTAATGTTTGACTGATGAAAATGTTTTCTTAAAAAAACCATTCATATCCTGGGCAACATAGTGAGACCCCCATCTCTACAAAAAATCAAAAAAATTAGCCAGGCATGGCCGGGCACAGTGGCTCACACCTGTAATCCCAGCACTTTGGGAGGCCAAGGTGGGCGAATCACAAGGTCAGGAGATTGAGACCATCCTGGCTAACACGGTGAAACCCTGTCTCTACTAGAAATACAAAAAATTAGCCAGGCATGGTGGCGGGCACCTGTAGTCCCAACTACTAGAGGAGGCTGAGGCAGGAGAATGGCATGAACCCGGGAGGCGGAGCTTGCAATCAGCTGAGATCACGCCACTGCACTCCAGCCTGGGTGACGGAGCGAGACTCCGTCTCAAAAAAAAAAAAAAAAAATTAGCCAGGCATGGTGGTGCACACTTATGGTCCCAGTTACTTGGGAGGCTGAAGTAGGAGAATTGTGTGAGTCTGGGGGGTTGAGGCTGCAGTGAGCCATGTTTGTGCCACTACACTCCAGCCTGGGTGAGAGTAAGACCCTGCCTCAAAAAAAAAATTCAGAAAGTAGAATAAAACTTTACACAACTCTCCAAACTCAATTAAACATCTAAACCAAATACATTTAGATGGATTTTTTAAAATGTTAGAATCACAATTTTAAAAAAATCAAGAATAGAAATGGACATAAAACAGGAAGAAATACAATACAAACTGACTAATCTCAAAAAAGATATCAAAAGAAAAAGACAATTATTTCAGAACAAATTATAAGAACAAATTATAAGTCCCAATGGAAAATAGAATTCAACAAAAATTTAGTAAGGGATACTGACGAAAAGTAGGCAAATGATCAAGAGATTTAAAATGAGGTAAAGAAGGTAAAAGGATCAGAGAGAAAGTGGTTGAAATGGAAGACAGACAGAGAAGGTCCAACATATGAATAACTGTGGTCTCTAAAGAGGAAAGCAAAATATTGCAACAGCGCTAATATTCAAATTTATATTCCAAGAGAACTTTCTGGAAATAAAAAAAATTCATTCTGCATATAGAGAAAGCCTACTGTGTAAATGAGAAAATTGACAACAGACAGTTAACCCTAAGACATATCCTGGTAAAATGATTAGACTTTAAAGACAAAGGAAAGAAGTCATCAGAGCCTCTAGGCAAAAAGATCCAGTTACTTACAGGAAAGAAAATCAGGCAGGGCATCAGGCTTCTCACAGCCACACAAAAGGTCAGGCAAGAGGGAAGCAGCATTTTCATGGACTCAAGGAAAGAAAGTGCCAGTCACAGATTTAATATCCATCCAAGCTAACTATGGAACACTGTGCTAACGCCCTTCCTGAAGAATACACTGGAAAGTAGACTTCATCCAACTAAGTGATCATAGAGGAAACTTCAGCAAAATAACCAGGAGTGAGTACTTAATATGTTTAATTGCAGAGCCAGGAGTAAACCAAGGGAGAGAACATGGGTGGAAAATATATAATGATGATACGTTCTGGCAGAGAGGAAGAATACCAGTAAAAGTGGGAGGAGACACGAACCGGAGAAGGGGGAAGGCTGAATAAGATCACTGCCAGTTGTAATATGTGGGAATCAGAAGACACCACTGACAGGTTAGATCATAAAAGATTAAAGGAAAAAAAGGAGTTAGGGAAACCATAAAATATATGAATACAAAGGTAATAACCTAGAACAAAAATATTCTTAAATACCAAAAGAAACTTTAAAAATTAACATTAATGGCTGGGTGTGGTGGCTCACGCCTGTAATCCCAGCACTTTGGGAGGCCGAGGCAGCTGGATCACCTGAGGTCAGGAGTTCGAGACCGGCCTGGCCAACATACCGAAACCCCGTCTCTACTAAAAATTCAAAAAAAAAATTAGCCGGCTGTGGTGGTGTGTGCCTGTAGTCCCAGTTACTTGGGAGGCTGAGGCAGGAGAATCACTTGAACCCGGGAGGCAGAGGTTGCAGTGAGCTGAGATGGCACCAATACACTCCAGCCTGGGCAACAGAGCAAGACTCTGTCTCAAAAAAAAATTAATATGAATGACATACTAAATAGAGAAAGAAGCACAATAAATAGTATAAAATATACACCAAACTATAACATGAAGTGATATGAGTCGAGATTAAACATGTCATATTAAATGTGCATAGACTTAATTGACCTATTATGATAAGATTCTCAAATTGGTTCATATAGGGTCAGGGGCGGTGGCTCATGCCTGTAATCCCAACACTTTGGGAGGCCGAGGTAGATGGATCACTTGAAGTCAGGAGTTCGAGACCAGCCTGGTCAACATGTTGAAACCCTGTCTCCACTAAAAATACAAAAATTAGCTGGGTGTGGTGGCACACGCCTGCAATCCTAGCTACTCAGGAGGCTGAGGCCCAAGAATCGCTTGAACCCGGGAGGCAAAATTTTCTGTGACGCCACTGCACTTCAGCCTGGGCAACAGAGCGAGACTCTGTCTCAACAAAACAAAACAATTGGCTCATACAGCAAAACCAAAGTCTATGTTGTGATCAAAAGACACACCTGAAACACAGTGATTCAAAACGAGTAAAAAATAAGGAATAAAAACAAAAACTTACCAGGCTAATAGAAAAAATAAGAATTCAGGGATTGTTATGATAATTTAAGACAAAGTAGGATTTAAGCCAAAAGCATTAAACAAGATGAAAGAGATTTAGTAAAGCTGAAACCGTAGTTTGCAAAGGACTGGAACTTGTATTGGAGGAAAATGTGATAAAGAAAATTACTGGGGCAGTTGTCCAAAATTGGAACATGGACAGAAGTTTAAATAAAACGGTTATATAAAAATCAAATTTTCCAAATCAGAGAACAGCCTTGTCCTTAGAAAATGCAGAATTATTAAGAAATAAAGGTATATAATGTATGTGACTTCCTTGCAACTTGTTAAAAAAGTGGGAATCTGGGTAAAGAGCAAACAAGGGATCCGTGGACTGTGCTTGCAACTTTTTGGCAAGTACAAAATTACTTCAAATTAAAAGTAAAAAGAAAAAGCAAACTGTATGCATTGTGAAAACTCATCAAAGTTCCGCTTATTCATGCATTCTACTGTATGTGCGCTTTATCTTAAAAAATCCACGAGTGATAAACGAAGATGGAACTCTAGCTGTCTAACTAGGGTTAGATAACTAACATGCTGAAGTGTTTATGACTGAAGAATACTGATATTGGCAACTTGAAATTCTTAAAAAGAAGACGACTTGGTGGACAGGTAAAAGGGGGACAGAGAGGTGGTCATACGCCTGATAAAAGCAAATATAGCAAAATATTAATTACAGAAAGTAGGTGGTGGGTATATGGGTATTAATTGCATAATTCTTTCAACTTTTTCCGTTTGTTCAAAATAATAAGATGTTGGGGGGAAGAAGAGGTAAGCCAGTGGTTTGATGCTGTGCCGCGTTTATATTAATAAACAGCTGAGTGCCTGGCTAGATCTTCCACCTTCCAGCACTGTCTCTTTTTACTTGGCCTCGGTTAAACTTTAACAACCGGTCCTGTCCCAGGAAGAAGGTCTGGCAGCAGCAGGCCCACCCCTGCATCTCACCCTGGGGGCCTGAGGCTCTGCGGGTGAGCACATTTGTTACCCAGCAGAACTGGCCCTCACAAATCTAGCTCCATGTCCCCATTTCTCTAAACTGGGAGTACATTCGTCCAGGGCCCTCCACACTTTGACTTCTTCCTTGGAAACGCAGGCGGCCCTGCTTGCACACACCTGTCCCGTCCCCGAGGCGGCCCGCCGAGCCCCCACTGCCACAGGGAGGTCTGCTTCGGGTTTATGTTTTAGGGTAAGAAAAAGGCCATTAAACTTCTCTCCGATGGTTGAGTCCCTGCTTGTGGGGGAGGGGGAGACGGAGCCAAGGGGAAGACATTTGCTGGTAAGCAAAGCCCCACTTAAAAATTTTCCCTTTCTTTCTTTTTGTTTCTTCTTTTTTCCCCCTTGAAGCGGCTCTCCCCGGAGTCAAAGCATTTTACAAACACAAACCACTCCAGAGCTTTCAAGTCTGGGGAAAGCTCAGCAAAGTCAATTAACATGAAGGTTCTCACAAAAGTTAATTAACATGAAGGGACTCACAAAAGCTGTCTGCTGGCATCTGCTCGCCTGCCTGCCATGTGCAGCGGCCCCTTTGTGCCCGCGCACCCGGCCCGGCCCGGCCCGGCCCTGCCTGCGCGGCGGCTGCGGCTCTGGCTCTGGACGGCCCCGGCTCCCGGCGGCCTCTCCCGCGGCAGGGCGGGGCGGGGCGGGGCGGGGCGGGGCGCGGACACCTGGTTCCTGCGGGCCCCTGCCCCGGTTCCTGCCCCGGCTCCTGCCCGGCTCCTGCCTTGGTTCTTGTCCCTCCTGCCCGGCTCCTGCCCGGCTCCTGCCCGCTGTGGCCCGCGGCGAGAGGGCGCGGCCGGCACAAGGCACCGCGGGGAGAAGGACTAGACCCAGCGAGAGGCGCCGGGTCAAAGGGCAGCCAGGAGCCAGACGAGGAGGGAAAGGAAGAAAGAACAATCAGGAAATCTCTTTAACGTGTGTCTCGGGCAGATGAAGGGTGTTTTTGACAGACTTACCTAAAAATACTGATACACGGCTCTGTGATACACGCGTGATGGCTCAGCCTGTCATCCCAGCACTTTGGGAGGTTGAGACGGGCGGATCACGAGGTCAGGAGTTCGAGACCAGCCTGGCCAACATGGTGAAACCCCCGGCTCTACTAAAAATACAAAAATAAGCCGGGTGTGGTGGCGCATGCCTGTAATCCCAGCTACCAGGGAGGCTGAGGCAGGAGAATCGCTTGAACCTGGAAGGCGGAGGTTACAGTGAGCCCAGTTCGTACCATTGCACTCCAGCCTGGGTGACAGTGAAATTCCCTCTCAAAAAACAAATAAATAAACAAAAAATACTGATACATGCAAAGTATAAATCCCTCAAAACAGTCATATCAGAACTGGAGGTCATTGTGTTAAGTGAAAAAAGCCAGGCACAGGAAGACAAACATCATGTGTTCTCACTCATTAGTGGAATCTAGAAATCAAATCAGTTGAACTCGTGGACGCAGAGAGTAGAAGGATGGTTACCAGAGGCTGGGAAGGCAAGCGCCGGGCTGGGGGGAGGTGCGGATGGTTAGTACAAAACGTAAGAAAGAATGAATAAGACCCACTATTTAACAGCACAATAGGGTGACTATAGTTAATAATAACTTAATTGTACATTTAAAAATTACTTAAAGAGTGTTAATTGGATTGTTTGCAACTCAAAGTATAAACGTTGAGGGGATGGATAGCCCATTCCTCATGGTGTACTTAGTTCACATTGCATGCCTGTATCAAAACACCCAATACACCCCATAAATCTACACACCTACTATGTAGCCACAACCCACAACAAATTTTAAAAGTAATTTAAAACCATTTTTTTTTTTTTTTTTTTTTTGAGACGGAGTCTCGCTCTGTCACCCAGGCTGGAGTGCAGTGGCCGGATCTCAGCTCACTGCAAGCTCCGCCTCCCGGGTTTACGCCATTCTCCTGCCTCAGCCTCCCGAGTAGCTGGGACTACAGGCGCCTGCCACCTCGCCCGGCTAAGTTTTTGTATTTTTAGTAGAGACGGGGTTTCACTGTGTTAGCCAGAATGGTCTCGATCTCCTGACCTCGTGATCCGCCCGTCTCGGCCTCCCAAAGTGCTGGGATTACAGGCTTGAGCCACCGCGCCCGGCCTAAAACCATTTTTAAAAATGATATAAGGAAATAATACAATGAATAATATATGACATATTAAGTAATAATTATAATTATTCAATAATATAGTTAATATCAATAATCAATATTAAATTTCATCTGTATGACTACTATAATAATAAAATTAAAATGTACATTTTCTGTTTTTTTTTTTTTTGATACAGAGTCTTACTGTGTCACCTAGGCTGGAGTACAGTCTCACCATCTCGGCTCACTGCAACCTCTGCCTCCCAGGTTCAGGCAATTCTCCTGCCTCAGCCTCCCAGGTAGCTGGGACTGCAGGTGCATGCCACCACACCCAGCTAATTTTTGTATTTTTAGTAGAGATGGGGTTTCACCATGTTGGCTAGGCTGGTCTCAAAGACCTGACCTCAAGTGATCCACCTGTCTAGGCCTCCCAAAATGCTGGGATTATGGGTATGAGCCACCATCCCGGGCCTGCCTCTACTCTTATATAAAGATACATTTTTTTTTCAGAAACAGGATTATAATGTGCCTACTTTTTTGGGTAATCCACATTTTCATTGATAATAGGTCATGAACATTTTTCAGTATCAGTAGATATATGGTCTCTACAGACCCACAAGGATTTTTCTAAACTTCCAGATAAATTGTCACAAATAAATATGTACACAGGTTTTGCTATGCCACCCTTAGATGTATACAGCTGAATACAAATGTGCAGTGTTTACATAATGAGCCACCTGAAGAAAGGCTATTTCCCTTAAACAAAGGTTTACCGTGCAAATGTTTCCCTGCAAAGGATTTGTACAATTGTGTTGGAAAAATCCATTTGTTTGGGTTTATAAATTTTGGAGTCCTGCACCATGTACCTGAAACTTGGCTATTAGGCACTGATGTGGTTTGGATCTGTGTCCCTGCCCAAATCTCATGTTGAATTGTAATCCCGCATGTTGGAGGAAGGGCCTGGGGGGAGGTGATTGGATCATGGGGACAGATTTCCCCCTTGCCGTTTTCATGATAGTGGATTCTCACGAGATCTAGTTGTTTAAAGTGTGTGGCACTTTCCCCTTTGCTTTCTTTCTTCTTCTCCAGCCATGTGAAGACGTGCCTCCCCTTCCGCCATGATCGTAAGTTTCCTGAGGCTCCCCAGCCATGCCTCCTGTTAAGGCTGTGGAACCATGAGTTAATTAAACCTCTTTCTTCATAAATTACCCGGTCTCAGGTAGTTCCTTACAGCAGTGTGAGAACTGACTAATACAGGGATATTTGTCCGGAATGTGAATTTGATTCCCTTGAGAGCCTTTAAACTGTTTATTTCCAGGGTCTTTCCACTGTGAATGAGCATCACTGACTCGTGCAGGTGTTTCTGTCTGTCTTCATTCAGGAACTGTCCCTCCATGGCTGACACAGCTCCTTTGAGAACGCCGTGCTGCCGCACTCATGTGCCTGCCCAGAAGCTGCCCAGGTTTGTTCACTGGGGCTTATTTAGGAATTGTGGGGTGTGGGACTGATGGACTAGGACACAAAGAGAAGACCCGAGGAAGGCAGGGCTTTCACTACAGATACTTTCTATTATCATGGCCGTAGATTGTGTTTTGTTTTTTTCCAAGTGCCTCCTACCTTTCCAGGGGTCCCTGAGACCACTGGACTGAATTGCCCAGTAACTGCTTTGGTGACGTCCATAAACAGAAGCATTTTGACATGACTGGCTTGGGAAGAAAAGGGGATTGTACACACTGCAGCCTTCCCAATCCTGAGGCGATGCAGATGGGCTGGAGACACAACTGATCGTTTTCATTTCCTCCCATATGGACTATTCCAGAATATTCTGCAGCTGATGACAAGAATGGAAACTGTGGATATAGTCAGTAAATGTCAACTTAGTAGAGACCAGAAATACTTGCAAGAAAGAGGCCTGCTATGATGTGAGTTGTGTCCCCCCAGGTCACATGTTAAGCCTAATCACCAGTGTGATGGTATTGGGAGGCAAGACCTTTGGGAGGGCCTCATGAATGAGACTAGTGCCCTTATAAAAGAGGACCTGAAGAGCTGCCTTGCCCCATCCGCCTTACAAAGGTACATTGAGAGGGGGCCATCTGTGAGTCAGAAAGCAGGCCCTCACCAGACACTGAACCTGCCAGCACCTTGATCTGGACGTCTGAGCCTCCAGAACTGTGAGAAACGAATGTCTTTGTTTAGAAGCTACCCAGTTTGTGGTATTTTGTTATAGCAGTGCAAACAGACTGAGAGAAGCCCCCATTATGGCAAGGGAAGAAAGGCCATTCCAGATCATGGGATGAAGTGCACTCTGGGGGTCAAGAGCAAGACCTGGGTTTGAATCCCGACTTTGCTCCTTCACGGCAGAAGGATCTTGAGTATATTACGGCAGTGGATTGGTACTCTATGTCCATTCAACTTGTATCTCAGAGACGGGAAACTGAAAACATTTCCCAGACTCCCTTGCAGCTAGGGGTTAGGACCTAGTGTTTAGGTCCTACCCATTTGGTACAGTCAGAGAAAGCGGAAAGCAGAAATGAGTACAAGGCCGTTTCCGTGTTGTTACTGGTATTTCTCCTGGGAAGCATGGTTTTGGTGGCTTGGTTCAGGAGTTGTCAAGGACTTTCCAGTTTGACTGGTGGCTCTTGGTGGTCTGCTTCTGTGGTATTGGCTTTGCTTCTGAAAGCTCATCCCACAGTTTTCCCTCCAGCCGTCTCAATAATTCTGTAAACCATTCATTACCTTGTAATAAATATTTTTTTAAACTAGGGAGAGTGAAATCTGTTCCCTGTAATGGAATCCTGACCAACAGGGTTCTTTAACCTCTCTGTGATATGTGGTGGTGACAGCTTCTGTTACGTTACCTGGGATAGGCTCAGCTACAGATCCCAGCACTCTCTTTTGAGTATGTTTCTGGTTAGGGTGGGCTGCAAGAGATTTCCTTTTTGGAGAATTGGAGGATAGAAGGGAAGCAGTGGCCATTTTGTAGCATGCATGCACCTTCTCCCAGGTATTCCCTCAAACGCTAATGTGGGTGCTGCTGTGAAGGTATTTTACAGATGTGATTAAAGTCCTTGATCGATCCCCTTTAAGCTGATCAAAAAGGAGGTTATTATAGGTGAGCCTGACCTAATCAGTTTGAAGACCTTTAAAAGAAGGTATAGGCTTTCCTGTTTAGAGATTCTCTATGAATAAGAGGCTTCAGCTCATGCCTATGGGTCTCCAGCCTGCTCATGATCTCCCCTTTCTGACTGTCTGTCCTGAGGACAACCCAGACTTGCATAAGCAAATGTTTTTGGTAATAAATAAATCTATCTATCTATCTATCTATCTATCTATCTATCTATCTATCTATCATCTATCATCTATCTGCTGTCTATCAATCATCTATCAGTCTATCATCTATCAATCATCTATTATGTATCATCTATCAATCATCATCTATTGTCTATCAATCATCTATC